GATTTTAAATTTTTTTTTGTTACAAATTAATAAAATGGAGCCGAGATGGCTCAGGGGTTAGAGCGTTCGCCTTCCAATGAGGCGAACCGGGTTCGAATCCCACTCTATATGAATTCCGCATCCGGCTTGCACCGACCACAGTGCTGACGTGAAATATCCTCAGTAGTAGACGGATCATGGGCTAGATTCCCCTTGCTGTCAGGCAAACCGTGGGAGGTTCTCGTGGTCTTCCTCTCCATGTAACGCAAATGCGAGTTAGCTCCATCAAAAAAGTCCCTATCTAAGGCAAAATTTCTCCCAATACTCGATCCAGGAGTTCCCTTGTCTTCTGGATTGGATTCAAAATTACAAGGCAACGGAGTTTATCATTAGTAGCTGTAAACCCATAAAATTGGGTCGGCTGTTCAACGATGGTTACAAAATTAAATGTAAAATCAATAAAATGGGTTTAAATACAAAAAAAAAATAAACTCAGTTTCGATAATCGAAATTTGACTGATATCAAAAGTGATACCAAATTAATTGCTGAACTGTGTAAAATGAATTCATAACTTTCACGTGCATTATCAGTGTTGAAATTTTTATCGAAATACAAATGTATAGATTAGCGAAACATGTGATTTCATCTGCTTTACTTTTTTCATGTGACATCTTTTTTCCTAGTTTTAGATATAAAATAAAATAATGATTTGTTTAGAATATTTACTCATTATAAGTTATCTTTTTATTTTCGTCTTTATTTGCCTCCAAACTGTTTCATATAAAACCGAAAAATAGGAATTCGAAATGCTCATGTGATTTGTTTATTGTCAATTACACTTCAACCTCCAAAACTGTTCCTTTCAGATCTCATTGTGATTAAAGCTTGCTTTGCTCGCTTATTGGATACAAATGAATATTAATATAACTTAGATAATGGAGATACTCTTAAATAGATTGAATATAAAATTATTTAAAGCATGAAATATATACATGTTGGTGAACCTTTGCTTTATATACATAATTTGGGTACAATTAAATTTAGATAGGCCGTAAAAAACCTATATTAATATATTGGGTAAGTATTATCATAATACCAGTAATAACTATTATCACAATCAATTAAGTATCAATGGCGTCAGTAATAATTTTGTGATATTTATATGGCAAAAGTTTTTCTGCAAATTCTTAAAAAACTGAAGAAAAGGTGTAAAAAAAGAAGAATAAAAAACATTAAAACAAACATTTTTGATTAAGAGTTTGTAGATACGACAAGAATTAAATTAAATTGAAAATTGAGCTACAGTCATCACTAATAAGTAATAATTTCAGTTACATCTTTTCCAATTAATGTATATATTAGTGAAGGAAAATCAATTAAGAAACTAGTTATATATATACATATATCTATATATATATATATATATAGAGAGAGAGAGAGAGAGAGAAAATATGCAGAAAATAACAGAATAATAAAAAGAGAAAAAGAAAATTATTAAAACAAAATAACATAACATAGTAATAAATAAAAAATAAAAAAACTTAATCAAAATCCGGGGGAAAAAGATATAACCTCTTTTCATCAGCTCACACGATTATATTCGTAAAAAGGAGTGTTTTCTAATATTGTATCAATATAGCCAAAGCAAAATATATCAACGCAATAGTGTGAGGAGCTCGCAAAAAAAATTTGAAACAAAATAGAACACATAAATAATAATTATCACGTAAAAAAACAGAAAATTAAATGTAAAGAAAAAACAGAACAAAACACAAAACGAAATCTATAAAGCGAATAGAGAATTCAAATAAACCTACAAGTACGGTAAAATTTTCAAGATATCTATATATTCACTCATTGAAACTTAAATGAACGATTACACAATACATCTACAATATTTAACTAGTTTATTTAAGTCATTTTTCTCCACTAATATAGACAATCATTGAAAAAAATATTTCTAAGTCTTTTACTTTAAGGAATTTTATGCATTTAAACCTTTTCAATTCTTTATTGATTATGTTTTGAATGGTCATAATCTCTACTTTAAACAAATATAAGTATTACATAAAGCTTCTATGAATAAATTTGTATTCAATAAATAAACCTAATTACATTTGTTCCGATTCTTTTTATACTGTTAAAACTTTTGCATTCATATTCATTGATACCAATACCACTAATTAAAATAATTTTTTAAACTTTCTTTTCAATTTAAATATTTTAAATTAAGTTGTGAAGAATGTAAGTATTTACTCATTGGAACAAGTACGTATCACTGATTGAAAAAGTTACCGATAACTATTTTTGTTACATATCCCCAATTCGCCCTATTTATAATTGGGAATAGAACGAGAAAAAAACTATGCAGCCATAAGCAATGTTGTTGTTCATGGGTAGAAATAGGTGATGTTCCACAAAACGTAGAATTAGATGTAAAAATAATATTGCCTTTAAGTGTGCTTTAGGGACATTTGGAAGAGTCTTTAGCCTATTATTTCAACAAAAGGAAGATCAGTTATTATTTGTTTCTCTTCAAAACAATTTTTTACAGAATTTGTGCGCATTGAATCATTTAATGTATATAAAAAATTCAGTAAGACGCTGGAGTAATGTAAAAAAAAAAGAAGAATCAAACACTTTTAATGAAACAAAACGAAGTGAATAAAGCACAAATAAAGTTACAAAATATATTAAGAAAAAAGCAAGATAACGTGAAAAAAAGTTGTGCTTTATTCCCCTTATTTTTCTTTATTTATGCGTGGCACAAAATTAATTGGGCCTTTTCAAAAAGTTTCTATTTTGAGACAATTTTAGACAATTTAATCCTTCGGTGCACAAAATATGTATAAGAAAAAAACACTTTTCGTGAATACACAAATGCTGGCTATCATTTTTTTTTAAATAATTGTTTCATTGACTGAAAGAAAAGTTTTAAATTTTTTTAACCATTGCGTACAGAAAATTATAATTTAAGAAAATATATGTTTAGATACATACTGCAAAATATACGGCACCTGTGTTGTGAACTTCATTAAAAATCAATAAAGTTTCAAATAAAAAAACAGTTAAAAAAAATCAATAGAAACAATAACAAAACAATTATGAAGACTTTTTTTTAATTATTTTCTTAATGCAATATTAATGCTATTCTATAAAATTTCTGTTTCATCGAAAAATTTAAATCATAAAGACTTTTAATTTACTCCTACTTTTGATACATGCATCGTACAATTGACGTATAAATACTATTTCTTTATTTTGTGTATTCTGTGCATTTGGCGTGTAGAAATGGTATTGTGGTAAATTATAGCTCTTTAGTTAGAAAATATTTCGCGTTATTTAAGCACAAAGCAATAAAAGAAATTTTAAAAAAAAACATATTATAGAAAATATTAATTTAAAAATGTATACAATTTTTTTTTAAATAATCTAACCAGAATTTTTTTAGAAACCATTGTTCACATTACAGAAGAAATGTCCACAATAATTAAAATGAATTAAATGCCTTTAAAAAAATCACTGGCTGCAGTTTCCAAAGATTCAACTAAAATCCAATCAGCATAAATAAAAAAAAGCATATTGCTGCTGATTTTAAAAATAAAAAATAAAAAAATGGAAACCACATTGACAACCATATGAGTAGAAATGGTTTGTGGCATTTGTTGAATTGTTAGTGCAGGAATGTAGAGTTTAATGACCTGAAAGTGACAATCTTAAAACAACTTTAATTAACATTCCATTATCAAATCAGAATTTTTTCAAAAATTTGATCATTAATGTTACTACTTCAAATCGCTTTTTGTCATAACAGATAACTGAAATTTCTCATTAAATAAAAGATTATCTCACTAAACAAGACACGAATCTTACTTTCAGGCAATATTCAAATTACTTTACTGAGCTAAAGATCATGGAACATGTTACAACTTGTTCATGTTGCAATTTTATTAGAATTGTTTTATAATTTAAAAAAGAAACTATATTGTTCCTTATGTTTTACAATTAGTAAGCACATTATTATTTTAAGTTATTATTTGATTGCGAAACATTAGCTATTGTAATAAAAAGGAAAGGTTAAAATGTTTAACTCACCTTCTCAAAAACTTCTGCAAGTAATTTACGAAACTTCAATTCCATGTAAAAAATTATTTTTAATAATTTTGTATTTATTTTTATTTTTTAAATTAAAAATAGACGAAAAAATTTGAATTGTAAGACATAACTACATAATTTTAAGAACGTAATTTTAAATGACAAGACACAAAAAAATAATAGATTTTAAAAAAAAATGGTTTCCGTGATATCCAATTTTAAAAAATTCGTGAATTTCAAATTTGATTTTATATTTTGCACATTGTACACCATGCATTTAGTCCCTGGCCAAATTACAAGACGCACTCTAAGATTCTATGTAAAATCTCAATAATCAGGTGATATTATACAGTTTTTTTTTTTTTTTTTTGCACAACTGAAACCAGTTTGCACTTGTTTAAAATCGTGTATTAATAGGTTAAATTAATAGATATATAATATAAATTAGACGATATATTATATAAATATTGAGTATTTATTATATCAGGTATTACATTAGTATGCTATAATATTATTAGACGCACTGTAGCTTTTTAATAATAATCATGTTTTGCACGAGCTTATAGGCAATACTTTTATTTTTAAGCATACATATAATGGGTTTTAATTCAGGATATTTTTCATATACTTCCTATTTGTATTAATTTTTAACGTATTGCATTACAATGTTGATTAATTAATACACGGACGCAGACAAGTACAAACCGGTTTCAGACGTGTATAAAACAATAAAACTATATAGTATTATATGATAATTAAGATTTTAATACATAGAATCTTTAATGCGTCTACTAATTTGGCCAGAGACTGTACTTAATAGTATAAATTCATTAGGTATGTTATAATTTTAAATTGTTATTTGTTTGTTAGAAAAAGCAAAAATCAAGATTTCGGAGACATTAAAAGGAAAAAGAGAAAAACTTACCTTTTCGGAAATTTCCTATTCTTGAGACTATTTTCCCAGACAATTTAATCCTTACATCACACAATTTTTGAAGAGAGCACTTACATTAAAAAAAACACAAATGCTGATATTCAATTTTTTATAATTTTTTTTTTTTTAAATAATGTTTAAAGTATCACCTTGCTTGTCACCAAAACATTGAAAAGGTTTTACTTTCGCTGTGAAACCACCATCTGTTATTCCATTTCGCGATTGAGTCAAGCGTATTCCAAATCGGAAGAAGAAAAAAAGTTATTTCCGTAAGAAATTCTTATCATCGAGTTTTCTAGTCTTCGAAAGAACGTTCAAAAAAATAATAATAAAAACAACAACATTATAATTCGAAACGGTAGTGCGGGACTTCGGAAACGTTACGGAAATCGTCCGTGCGTACTGTATCAGTCAGTAGCTGGTTGTACCATTCGAACGTTTTAAACTAAAGTGATTTCTATAACACTTTCCTACCTCGTTAAAAAAATCAAAAGAATAAGAATTAATTATGATTCTATTTAAGAAAACCAGTTTTTATATTTCGGATTATCTTTAGGGTAGTGGTCGTAAAGCGGGTGTACTTTCTTTTCATCGAGAGCTTGCGTAAGGATAAATGTCCAAACGCAGATAATTTTTTCTTCGCCTATTAGTAAACAACTATTCCGTCAATAAATTAATGACCTTCTGATTTTGCCGCAAGCAGTTTTATCTTAGTCTATATCTGACGAACTTGCTCCATATTTTGAAGTTGAAAGAATTTGTTAACGTCTATCATCAATAATAAGCATGAATTTTTAATGACAGCTATAAATCATGAAGTCTGGAATAAAGGGCATCCCTGATTGACTTATGGTTTGTTGACATACGCAAAAATTAGTTCAAGGTTATGATCGCGATTGCTTTTAGTAAATAGTTAACTATTTCGTTCGAATATATCAACAAAACCCTAAAAAAGTTTATTTTTGTAAGAAGTTTGAATATTAATGGATTAAATAACTGTCTCAAATTAATATATCGGCAATAAAGAATATTCCTGGTAAGCTTAAGATTTGTTAACATAAATTGGGTCCTAAAATGTATAGTTTATGATCGCGGTTGCATTTACAATTGGACTTCTATTTAACGAACTTCCATTTTGCGAATTTCTCGATTTTGCGAATTTTTTTTTTTTTTCGAGGAACCAAGAACATTTTGGAAATTTCATCGTAAAATATTTTCCAAATAGCGGAGTGAATTTTCTATTTAACCACATACCCAAAATATTTCAGAACATTTCAAACTTGTTAGCTCATTTTATGAGTTAAATAACCTTAAATTGATTTTCAAAGCCACTTAACTTATATAACCTTTAAATAACCTTTTTGTTTGTATCTCAAATGAAAAAGTCAGACAAAATTAACTGATTTTATTAGCCACAATTGTAAACTTAAGAACGCATGTGGTATGTTTAAAATTACTTTTATAATACATGCAGCTGTAATTTTATACTTAAATTTAGCCTTTTTTTAGTTGAAAATGTATGTAGCATGATAGTTTCACACTGGATAATGTTTTACTCTATTCTTGCTTTCCATGCAGATTTCTTTTATAGTTAAGATTTATAAAATAAGTAGTAGATACCAGTATATAAGATAAAGGTGTATCAATGGCTATTTTAACTATGTCTAGTGTTTATGAATTCATAACCTGCTTTGTGTTGTTTAAGTATTTCAGTAAAGAATTTTCCATTTAACGAATTTTCCATATAACGAACTTAATATCGAGATCTAGCGACTTCGTTAAATAGAGGTCCGACACTTGTATTTACAAATTCTATGATCACTAAACCTAAAAACTAATTTTAGTATGAAATTTAAGTATTAATTATTAAATGAGGGCGTAAATTTATGAAGTATGAAATAGAGAGTATTCCTGATATGCTTAGGATTTGTTAACAGACATAGTAAAAATTATTGCAAAATTACGATCGCGATCGCATTTATTAAATTGGGAAATACGTCTTACAAATACCCCAAAACCAAAAAAGTTTGCTTGCTTAGAGTACTGATTATTCATAAATTCAATGACTGCATCAAGTTATAAAGTCTGGAATAAAGAATATCTTTGCTAAGCTTAAAATTAGCTGACGTACGAGTGGTGGTAAAAATTACTGCAAAATCATAATGGCGATTACATTTATTAAATTGTGAACGATTTCATTCAAATAAGGATTAATTAGATGACAGAATCAAATTACAAAATCTGAAATAGATAATGTATCTAAAAAAGTCGTGATGGCTTAGGGGATAGAGCGTTCGCCTCCCAATGAGGTGAACCAGGTTAGAATCCCAGCGATGGCTGGTCTATACGAATTCCGCATCCGGCTCGCACCGATCATAGTACTAACATAAAATATCCTCAGTGGCAGACGGATCATGGGTTAGAGTTGTCTTGTCGTCGGACTAACCGTGGGAGGTTTTCGGGGTTTTCCTCTCCGTGACACGCAAATACGGGATAGTTCCATCAAAAATATATAATTGAATCTTGGTATTCGAAAACCCGAAAAATTGGTACGGCTGTTCAACGACAGTTATGGAATGAAATAAAATGTCTCAGAAAGCTTAAGATTTGTTAACATACAGAAAGTCGTAAAAAATTTGTGTAAAATTATGATCGCGAATGTATACATAAATGGGAGCTATTTTCTAAGATTTCAAAACCAAAAAAAGTATTCTTTTGGTAACGATCAAATAGTTTTATAACTTTTAATTATCTGTCACAAACATCTGTTGCAAACTTTATCTTGATCTTTAAGTTGCAGGCATTCAATAAAGAATTCGATGTTATAGTTGTCTTGTCAATTTCAGTACTAAATATTTCATAAAATTTTGGAGGATGAGTTTTGCGAGTTCTAGCTCCTGAAGACTAAAAAATTCAATAACAATTATAAATTTTTAAATTTTTTGCATTTTTGAGTTTTTATACTTTTTACCGCATTGTGCAATATTTTGAAACTTTACTTGATTTTTGTCTGAGTAGCAGGAATAAAATAAAATTCAGCATGAATTTTTGAATTCTATGCTATTCATAGTACGTTGCAATATTTTGAGATCTTTGTTTGATTTTTGTCGATCAATAATATTTTTAAAGTTTTTTGTTGATCCTTGCCTTTCGCAATATTTTGTAACTTCATCTTAACTTTAGTTCGAGTAGCGTGATTTTTAATAAACAGTTCAGTAATATTTTTAAATTTTTTGCTTACGCATGTTACAATTTTTTGAAATGTTATCTTGATTTTTTTTTAAGGTGAAGAACTAGTTGTTTCTCATAGAAAGCTAAAATGAAGTGTATTTTCATAAATATAATCTCAGGTCACATTATTAGTTTATTTTTTAGCCCTATAACAACATCAAGCCATTATGACGTAAAGAATTAAGTCATTAATGACTTAAAGTACAATACGATTTTTTTTAAGTAAATACTATGTAAGTTTATTTTTAAATCTAATAAATCTAATAAATAAATAAACAATTTAAATGTGATAGTTAAAACTAAAATAAGGTATCAATATTTTAAGATAAAAAATGTACAAATCAGGTATCACATTTTTTATCTTAAAATATTTCACTTTTCTAGATCTAATAAGATTATTTATAGATAGCTTTTATTTTATTGTAAATTTCACTTCAACACAAAACATCTTTATAGTCTTGTTCAACTCGCGCACAACTACGAAATATTCGAAGTCAATCCATCTCAAACAATTAAATAACATGTTTTTAAGGCCATTATCTGAGCAATAAATAATTCAATGTTTTCTATTTCGGTAAACTCGTGTATCACTATATAATTGAATGAAGCACAGTTGGAAATATTATAATAGAAAAGAATAAAATTAATTTAAAATGAAGTCGCATTCTGCCGTGGAATCCTCGGCATGATCGAAATTCGCGTTATTCATCTTATTATCTTCTTTCAAAGCCCAAATATAGGCAGACTTTACTCGTAGTTTTAAAAACATAAAATTACATTCGGTGTTTCAAATAAGAAGATTAATTAATCTTATGAATCATCTCTTCTTTATATGACTCATTTTGTTATGCTGACGACTTAAAGTCACATAATTTCTATTTGTTGCTGACCTGCGAAAATAAAATATTTTACTAGTCAAGAGGTTCGAAAGAAGCCGCTATAGCTTTGGAGCAGAATTGATTCGAACGCAATTTTTAAAAAAAATGTGTTTTAATATATTCTTTTATTTTACAACAGTCGTTAAACAGTCGACCCAATGTTGGGCTTACGACGACCTATGTTCAACTCCACAGCCTTGTAATTTTGAATCCAATCCAGCAAACAAGGAAACTCCTGAATCAGTACTCCCAGAGGTATTGATTTATTATGGGAACTTGGAGTACTTTGTGACCCCAGACAGATTTAACGCTCATCAGTCACTATTTACTACACTGGGAGTCTTCGGTCAGCGGGGATCGAACCCACGACCTCTTGGACATGGGCCCAGCACCCTACCAACCAGGCTATCCCAGCCTATTTAATATACTCTTGTTAAAAAAATATTAATGAACTCGGAATGAAATTAATTGAAAATATGTTTATTATTATTATTATTTTAAATCTCATATACAGCAATCATATAAGAGCTGGTTTCTCAATGGGTTTGAACCCATCACAGTCTGGCAACCAAGGTGCCCTAGGATAAAGACTCTATAGAATCATAGATCAGAACTCTTTTAAAGAATCATTCATACAGCCCCTCTATAGAGTCACTACAGAGTCTTCAATAATCTGAAGCAACTTCAGAGCTTGAGGAATTTTTTTAGAGATTCCTGTAGAATTATAGGTTGGAACCTCTTCGTACAGCTTTTATCGAGACATTATGGATAATCCCTTAATCGAGTCACCATAAATAAAAGATGGTCAAAATCAGTATCTTTTGGTAGTCTGAAAATCCAAGGAAACCCGATATACCTATATTCTGTAAGATCCTTATGGAATCATGGATCGAAATATTTTTAGAAAATCATTAAAGAACCTGTAGATCAAAAACTCTTTTCATCAAAATCGTAATTTAATGTCCACAGTATTTATAAATCCAGAGGTCCCAACTGAAAAAAATAGGAACCCTCTTCATGAATACTTTGTAGAGCCATTAAAGAATACCCATTTATAGGATAACTAAATATAGTAGTCTAAACCAAACTCTCAGTAGACAAACTCTTTTGGAATCCAAAGTGATCTTCTGTAATGTCCCTATAGAATCATAGATCAAAATATTTCAAGAGAATCCTTAAAGATCTTATAGAGTCGACTGTACAGATTATCATCAAAATCCCATTTCATCAGTAATTGATTATCAGCAGTATTTACTAATCAACTCTTGCAGTTGCTCTTCCAGAGGTTTCCAATAGATAAAGATAGGAACCCTTCGTATGGCCTTTACTAAGTCGTTTATGGAAAACCCCTTCCTAGGGTCCCT